GAAGCTTATACGGAGAATAGAGAGATACATATATATTCTGTATACCAGTGACGCAGAGTGTCAGAATTGCCCGATCCATTAGCTCCAGTGTGTCACCTTTGCCAGCAGAGAGCTGGCCGGTGGCGTGTGCATTCCCACGGCAACGCGTTCCGGCTGCCGTGGCTACATGAGGTCAGGGAACAATAACAAGAAAAGACAGACGACGCGGAGAGGAATCCAGAGCGATCTCGCTAGGCCCAGAACGCTAGAGTACGAGCACAAACACCTTGAGAACCTCACCTCCACCATGAGCTCTTCAACATAGTGATGACGTTTCATTTTTACCTCAACACGTCTTTTCTTCATGACAGTTTTGCACTTCGGAGAGGGAATCTGTTCTCGGCGGGCGAACATGAACGTCTCTGGCAGCTGTTGTGTCCACAACCACCCTTCAGAAAGTAGCAGGCCGGCAGTTCGAAACCGGTGAACTACTGGCGGACGAAAAATTTGTGCAAAAGACTACCTCTCATTCGCAACTCCTTTTGTGTTTTGTCATTTTTGTGGTGTTGCGGAAAAAGATCGCCAGCCGTAAAGGCCGGCAGAAGCCTCTATACTGGGATTCTCTAAGAAGTGAGAACCGACAAGCTACAAGTAGCCAAATGAGCACGACAGGCATAACAGGCTCCTGCTGTTCTTCTATCTGAACTATGCCAGATAAACTGTTCAGCTCCTCAAGACCTCTGTGCGCCAGTACTGTGCAATGCGTCTGGTTTATAATCCTGAGAATGTTGTGAGATGGTGCTGGCCGAGACAACATGGCAGTGCTCGTGTAAACCACATTGCCCAGAAGCTGTGGGGGACAGTCATCCATCGTATAAACTACACAAATTGTGTTTATATGTTATGCCATTTTTTTCTGTTCCAAATCACTAAATTAAACTTAAATAAGGACTACTCGGAGAGGAACATTCATCTGTATTTTTCTCTGTGTTATGAAAACATGAAGCTTGTAAATTGTTCAGCGTACGATGATTAGATAACAGTAGTGTTTAAGAACTTTTTTAGCAGTCACATTAGGAAATCTGAAATATTATTTCCGCCTCAGCTATCTATCCTCTGGCATATATCAGCTTTAAATATAAAAGATCATAATTTGTTGCACCAAAGCTACACAGCATCCACTTCATTTTTGTTTAACAATAAGTAGAATATTTCAGAGCAGTCTGCATGACACAGAAGACGTTTTTCATGAACGGCTTTAGAGCACATACATTTCTTGATTAAGGGCATTTAAACACAAAACACCTTCTTTGTGAGTGTTATTTGAGCTTATGCACTGAGAAATAATGTTTTAGTACACCAATGATGAAGCATGATATTGACCTGAAGTATGGCCTTTTCTTATAACAGCCATTCATTACAAGAGCAGTGGCTGAGCCTGAGTGCATCAGACTGGCATTCACGACAGTCAAGCAGGACTTCTGGGAAGCAGCTGGCTGCTGGCCAGGGTGCGAGGATAAAAAAAAACTTGCCGGGAGTGGGAACGTCATCGAGGTGGTCAGGGGTGGGTTAACAAGAAGACTCTGGAGGAAGCAGGACTTGTTCCACTCGCAGGCTATGAGACAGATCTCAATAATATCTCGGCTGTCGGACGTGAAGCTTCATATGAAACCTCAGTGCAGACATTTCCCCCCAAATTATGAATTTTTAACAGCTGAATTTAGGTTGAGCAACTTCATGAACTGCAAGCAAAGCAGAAGGTGGTGTAACTGAACTTTAATAAGCAGGTTGTTAGGGAGTAAGTGCCAAGTGTTTGAGAAGTAAATTAAAAATTGAAGTCAAAATGCAGGGCTAAACGGGATCCAAGTACAAATTTTTGCTGATAAAGATGTTTTCTTCCAAGAAAAGCAGCCATCCAAACTGTCTTTCTTGTTCCAGCGATGCCTCCCCCTGTGCTGTTTTTGTTCGGATCAAATTAAAGGAAATTCGAGACAGGAAATAGCCAGGCTGCTGAAACCACACCCATGCGACTCACTTCGTCTGAAGCCTCCCAACCCTCCAGCTTTCAATCTGCGGTCTGGGAGCTCAGTCCACATCTGGACCAGTTTGCTGATCGGCTTCAGCTTCTCCTGGATGCAGTTTACTGAATCGTGCAGCATCACAGCCACACTCCTCGACAGCAGGAGCCACCAGCAGGAGCAGGCTTCTGTACAGCAGTGGCCCACATTTCTGGGGTTCGAAACGCACAGCCAGTCCCACCACACGTGGGTAGATGTCTCAACACACAATGCAAAACGATATTCCTGTTAGGAGTCTTGTCTTGTCACCATCACTATAGCCTCTCTGGCCTGTTCTGATTCCTTTATTAGAAGAGCTGCTGCAGACTTTTCGCAGAGAGATGCTCTTATAAAAACTATTTTACACAAAGAGTGTTTTTCAAGGGTCATTATTATAATAAACAGACCGTAAATCGCAAATAGGTATCACCCTGAAAACTCAGTTCACTTGAATCTCATTGCTAAAGAGTTTAAATTTCAAATAGAAATTTGGTAGTCTGTCATTTAAATACCATTTTCATGTTGAAAATAAACCTATTCATCTTTAGGAAGATTTCACAGACCCCTATAACCACTACATAAAATACAACTAATTGTTTCAAATAGTAAATTAACAACTGACTAATTTTAATTGGTGACACAATGTAAAAAGATGTGGAGATTCAGGGCTTTGTGGTAAAATGCCTGTTTCATTCAAGCTTTCCAAACCCTTTCACAACATCCATAACATAATATTTGCTCAATATTAAACATTCTTATTTGTATATTTGCGTTACCAATAATTTTTCTGGAGCACAATGAGCTCACATCTCACTAATTTGCAATCAAGACATTTCTTTAAGCCATTGCTTAACCAAATGCCTGGATTGAGTACTGATGTAGCTTGTATTTCCATGCATATGTTTTTTTGTATTATACGCAGATAATATGTGTGCAAAGGATCATACCGTCTATAAGGAGCTTTTCAAAAGGTAGCAGGTGGCAAAGACAGTACTGAAAATCCAAGCTAAGGAGGATTATGAAGGTACATTGATAATAACTGAATTTACATTTTTGTTAACTCTAGATATGAGAGTGAAAAATCAAACTTGAAAGGTTTCACAAACTCTGGGTTCGGAGCTTGACACAGGATTTGTAGGCATAATGCAGAAACATACATTAATTTAGAAAAGCAATGAAAGACCTAAAAGATACACATAAATTGGGCTGTGCAGATAGCTAGCTCTTGAAAATGACAGAGGCATTCATGAGAAAACAAAATGCAATTGACTAATACGACTAATTGTTTCTTCCACAAATATACTTCATTTTAAGCAGCCAGTGTCAGATTGTACCTAATTGAAAGTACAAAGAGGACTGTCAAATATATGTACAAAAGGGATCAGGCCAAGGCGATGGGTGTTAATTCATAAAGTGAAATTACTGGACATGTGCGACAGTGTCAGAGGAGGGTGAAATAACTATCTTGGTTGGTGACAGAGGCTGTAGGAGGAAGGAAGAAACAAAAAAGAAAGAAAAAAAGAGTTTTAGTCATGAAGCTAAATGCACTAACGGCAGAGCTGCACCGCCTGTGAATTAAAAGAGCCAGAAGAATAAAATTCCCGACACACAATAAGTGATCACAGGATTAGGCAGATGCTGGAGACCAGTTTCCAAGGAGAACAGAACATCAACATTTGCCTAATCCTCTAGTAATGGAGGTTATCGATGCTACAGCCAGAAAATAACCCCCCTCACCATCACCTCAGAAAACCAATTTGCATAACATTAGGTTTCCACAATATGTATTATATACTTATTGGTTTAGCCTCTCACTAGGACTCGTGTGCTTTAGTATTTCACACAGAATGAAACACCAAAACATCAATGTAGTTGTTGGTTTTTGTCTTTTATAAGATTGTAATTCTATGTCAGGATGCTTCAATGAAACCCCTTCTGCTAAACTGATATGGTTTTAATACAGAGTGCCTGTTTAGTTGCATATATGTGTTTGGATGAAACACTGATTGCTTCTTTTCATTAAAAACTAATTTAACAAAACATTTTAACTTTCTTCTGAAAAATAACAAAATGTTTTTATACAGTATAATACTGTGCTTTCATCCTTTTCCTCCAATAGATTTTGTTTGAATAAAATACATAAATGAAATCACTGTTTTCACTGGACATTGTTTGGTTCAGTACATTTTTAAAGCAAGATTGTCTAAATTTAAAGCTATTTGTAAGGTTCAGGTTTAGTAAACAGAATTAATTTAATTGATAGTCATTGAAGTCACTGCTATTCTGTTGCTATTTTTAGATAGTTATAATTATCAAATGAACTATTAAATATTTTATTTTATTTAATAATTATTTTTAGTTTGATTTTACAAGCAATTTCAGCCTAACGATTAATGAAAGACTGAATGTACAACGTTATCTAAAAGAATAAAATGAAAAAAAAGATGACCTACCATTTTTAGTGTTTGCCAATACATGCTTTACTTTGTTCTAGAATTTCTTGTTACAAAACACCAAAAATAGTAAACTATGAAAAAAACAAAATGAAAATGTGTTTATAGAATAGTGTTGCATGAATAAATACTGTCCAAATGTAAAATCGGGCTTTGAGAAGCGGATTATCAAAAGCACTTTTACTGACTTTTTTACTGCTCCATTTTTCACAAATGTCTGAACAATAAGGACCATCTTGCTTTTATTGTTGATATCTTTTCAGTCGAAAAGGGGGCATACAAATGCATTCCTTTTATTACCTGGATATCTCTATAAATATAAAATATTGTAATTATACTTTCAGATGGAAACATTCTATGTAGCCTTATATTATATGTAACATAATAATATATAATTAACGTATACACAGATGGAAGCTGTTGTTGTTAAAGTCATTATGTCTATTTTGTCATATATGTACGATAACTTTCTGGTTGGTGTTCTCACAAGTAAAAGGGCGCTAAGACAATCTATTTTGTTATATAATGTGAATCACACCGTTTAGAAAATAAGATTATGGGGTTAATATTGGTTCTTAATCACTGTATCTAGAGCAACACTTTTCTGTTTTTTAAAATCAGCGTCCTACTACCCTAGTTCAAACACCACACTGTGCACAGTTGGGGGGCATCAAAGAACTCAGGTCCACAGAATTTGAAAAGAAAAGCTGCATCTTCTGTGCATTTTGGTTCACAAATATCACGGAGACAAGAAACAGAACTCTCCAGAATTCCTGAAAGGAAGACGGGTCTGAATTGTGCTTTTATTTCTGAAAACACAACCAGAGGACATCCACAATTTCTCTTCTTAAGGACTCGAACAAAAGAAGATTTTTGGCAACAAAGGAAATGGGCTCAGATTAAAAAATGTGCTCGGGTTACTGCTTTCTTCTAAGACAGCCGATAAAAACTTCCCTAAATGGGTATGGTGAAGGATGACATGGGATATTCATGTACACAAAAACAGCTAAAAACCCGAGACCCCATCAGAGAGCTTTCACTTTCATCACCTACGTTTTATCAACAGTGACCCGTTTCTGATATTGACAGCCAGAACTGCCTCATGCAACTTTGGACCAATGTTGAACCCGAGCCAACTGAGAGTATTGATGAACATTGCAATCCTGAAACTGGTGCAAGCAGGTACAAAACAATTTTTTATTGACATATGTATTTATTTGGGCCCTAATCAGATATTTAAAAAATTGCTAACAATAGCCTTTTGGATAGTATACAGTAAAAACTATGCATGCATTATTGAAAAGTAATTTAAAAATAAAGAACACTAATATTTCATGTGCAACTTCACAAAAGCTTGTCTCTCTCGTTTTTTAATATGGCTCTATAATGCTTAGCTGCCTGGACTACAGATCATTATTTGTAGTGCAAAGAAATGCAGTTGCATTTTATATTTGCAGTGTTTCGCTGTAGAATATAAATACTATTTCGAAATGGATTTAAATTTTTTTCAGTGCTGGGGTTACCAACAAAAGTACCTCTTATATGAAATAATATATAGGGAAATATATTCTTAAAGCATTAAAATAGTAGCATCAACAAATTTACAATAGTATAGAAAAGTTGAGCACCAATGATTAAATCATTATGCAATAATTAATATTAAGCATTAATTCACTATTGTTTTGTTGTATTACAGCTGTTTCTGATCTATCGAGTTAGATTTGGAAAAAAAAGAGATTGGCAGTAGACAGTTTCCTTTGACATTATTTGTTCTCCATCTAAAGTTCTATTTATATTGTGTTTCTATACAAGTATGAAATACACAAGTGAGCTTTAGTCATTTAGGCCCTACTTGCAGAAAACTGGAGTTAAAATTTAATTGCTGCGATTTACTAAATCTTGTGAGCTATGAGTAATTTGAAGATTGTAGATAGAATTCGCTTTGAAACAACAGTGAAGGAATTATCAATTTTGTCATAGATATGTTTCAAAATTGTTTTTATCTTAAATTAATCCAACTGAAGATCATTCGATAATTATAATGCCTTCAAACTGTTAATTAAAACCTAATAATTAAAAGCCTAAACCTCAAACTTATACATAAATGTTTTCCATGTTAATGTCATTAAACCTGAAGAGAAATTCAAATTGTAACAAAATAATATAATGTTGATGCCTAAGTAATTTAAAACATTAGAGGGTGCAGTTTATTCTGAAAGCAACTGTATATTATTTGAGTTAATCTAATTTATCTTTTTGTAGGTTTAGTATTTTTAATGGAAGTGTGGTTTAAAATGTTTAGGGCTAAATTATTAGAAGAGGCTCATGTTAGGTGTTAATCTTAAACCAAGAATAACATAAAGTACATGCAACATTTATCATTGGAGTCATTGCTAAAAATTGAAAATACATCTTTACAATGTAATTCTACATTATTTTCTTACTGAAATTGTTTTTTTTCTGATATCTTTCAGTTTATGCAATGAGCAGAACTAACTATTTTTCTGTATTCTGCATTTACTGTGTAAATACTGTTGATATATGTGTTGTAAATTTGTTAAATAGTTTGGGAAAATACCATATAGTAAAATCAAAGATTTTTCCTTAAAAGGCATCCATAACACATGAAAAGTATGCATTTAATGAACATCTGCTTCTTTACTATATTGATTTAAAATGGTTCTGTACTCTCACATTGTAAAATAGAATGACTAATTCTTAAAGTGCATGTTTTAAGAATGAATTACAGTATAATATACAATACATAGACAATAAATAACTGAAAGAGACAATAACATAACTGAAAATAACTCAATAACAGGATAATGCATAGGTTCTTGGTATATCATTTCTTTAGCTTCAGAATGTTGTACAAACTTGAATGGGGCAATGTAGATAAAGCATTTTTTTATTTATAAATGAAGCTAATTTGTCAATTTTATTCATTGGCTTTTTAGACAGCACTGTCTGGGTTTTCTAGTCCACAGTATCCCTTCCCTCAGGTTGTGTCTTTGGGTGTGGCAGATTCATTTCATACTATACATTCGGTATGTTGCATTCTGAATCTCCGTGAGCTGAACCTCAAAAGACGTGTATTCTGTATAGCAGAACGCTATATAATTTCACTTTTTAAAATAATAGCCTGCAATGTATCCATCGATATAAACCTGCTAACTCTAGGGATTGTAAGAATGTTTTTGTAGCTATTTTCTGGTTTTATTGTCTGAATCCTTACAGAACAGAGAAATATACATGCATATTTATTATTGTATGTTCATGCAATGTTAGTTATAATGCACACAATATTCGGAACCCACTTTCATGTGTAAGTTATTAAAATGCACCTTTCATGCACAGTGTGGTTTCAGCCGTGTCTGACTCTTCGTGTGTGCTCTCAGTTTCTCTTATTCACGGAGGCATGAGAGTGACAGGACTGGTGCAGTTCAGGTTCACCACTGGAAAGCAACAGGATCCATTTTACCACTGGAGTCACGCTCTGCGCACGTGTCCACAAAATGACCGCTGGTTCAAGACAGGGCAGTCCCTGTCTCTGGGCTCCTTGCCCGACTCCAGTTTGACTGTCCTTTGATGTCACAGCGTTGTAAATCCTTTGCCCCATCTTTGATGTGGACCGACACCTCAAAACCTCATTTAAAACAGCCAAGCTCGTTTCACTTGTAATCTCTGCTGTAGCTGCATCCAGGCTCCCCGAAATCGAAGGTTCAAGCGTCATGAGTTAAAACAACACAACACGTCCCTCCTTCCCACTGCTCTGTTCTGAGCATGCCTGTGGTTCGCTGCCATGATTGTCATCTCTTCACTATATTTGTGCCATGTCATTAAGATCTAGAATTGGGTTTTGCAGTGGGTGGGACGATGTCGTCAATGAGATGGAGTCAACTTAGGAAACGTAGCTTTTAACGTTTCCCCTTTCTGGGGGAGTCTTGTTCTTGGCCTGGTTGTATTTATACCAGCAGAGAACCCGGCTGGTCACAGTTTCTCTTTACATGTTGTGCTGAAATTGTGAAAGCGAAGGCAGGAGGCTGCTGCAGAGAAAAGTCACATCCTTTTGCTACTAACTGAAAGGGCATTTCTAAGAGCTGACATTTTTGCCAATAGTTTTATGTCATGACAGAGTGCTAATAATCACACTCATGGTTTTTCCATTGTGAAAAGGGCATCTGACACAGAAAGTGTAGCAGTGGTGGTGCTATCTCTTTTACTGGAACCATGTGGTAGATGGAAAACCTGAGCAGTGCTGCTTCAGCGTATGAGGCATCACTAAGATTCAGAGGGTGTCTATACTATTGCACCCCATTACGTTACAATACATTACACAACAACGGAATCGGTGTGAATTGCACTTTCTGAGAGTGAGAGATGTGCAACCTTTAAAAAGCAATAATAACTCTACCAGTTTCACAGATCCTTACATATTTCTGTGTATCCAATCACAGACCTTTTAGCAACGTGAAACCTCACCATTATGGCCATTACCAGGTATTACCAGGTATAACAAAGACAAGAGAAACACGGATCAAGATCCCTAGTTATGTTAATTTCTTTCATAGCACATCCGACCGCATTGACTTTGTTGCTTTCAACACGGTGTCAAAATGCACAGCCGCTCCTGCACCAAACATTCGAAGCAGTTACCACTGCAAATCTGCAACGCTGTGTGTGACGACACTGCTCAAAGTTAGGAACAACCCTTCAGAAATGTTTTATAAGATGTAACATGCTGTGGCTGCATTAACTTGCATACTGTATACAGGTGCATTAGCTCAACACCTTATTGTTCTACATTGTTACAGTGGAACAAATAACATTTGAGCCAATGTCCTCACACACTTTTGCATGTTTACTGTCTTTGAGTACAGTAATCATATGTGCTGTTTGTTATCGTAATCTCCGATCCTCTTTTCAATTCTATATGAACACCTGAAACATTCTCAAAATCTCAGCAGTCTGGAAAAGATGCTTTCGCCGACGGAACGGGGGACCTTTGATATTGTGATGCAGTGAAAGAGGCAGATCAACATTCAAGCAGCAGAGGTTTCACATTTTCAGCAAAAAGACAGAGCAGCTGACATGTATGATTCCAATACAAAATGCCAAAAAGAACTTGATAAAAGAAATGGATGGAAATTTAGTAATACTAGTGAATGGCATTTTGAATAACTGGAATGGGAAACATACAATACTCTAGGTTGAATACATAAAATGGTTACTGCACAAGGATTTTAGTTTTTTTTAAATGACATGATTTTCCTTTTATTTTCCACCATGTGATGTCCTTGAACCAACCTTATTCATGCACACATACAGGTAGACCGGCAGATACTATATATATGTGCTCTGTTTCATGCCCGCTGCTCTCCCGATGTCCTCAGCCTCACAGCCACTCTTTGTACTCACCTCACATTGCATTGACAGGCTGATGAATCAATTTAATCACCCTAATTTTTAGATGAAACACTAATCCCAGCAGGCTCTCCAGAATCTCTCTCCTCAATGAGAAATCGTGTCCGTGTGCCGTTTATCTCGGCTCTCAGGGCCCTCGGTGAGTCAACACATGCAGACGGACTGCATTTGGAGGAGCGTAATTTAATCCCAGGGTGGCGTGCGGAATGAAAGCAGATTACAGTCAGAATTACCAGCAACAGACATTATAATGTTATTGATTAAAAACAGCAGGAGCTCGCCGGGCTGCATATTGTATACTGCCTTCACCTACCTGCATGTGCTCAAAGGTAGAGATTAAAGAGCTTTGGTGACAGTGGCAAAAGTGATTTGATGGATTGGCCTTTAAACCTGGGTTTAAATGTGATTTGTGTTCTGTTGTAATTAGTTTATGGGCACTGAATGACCTGCTTCATACAACATTGGTCAGAAAATCGTAATATAAACAAGCTGTCTTTAATAGACGTCTGAAAAACAAATATTGGACGGTTGTGCTCTTTCCTTAATAGGATTTTTTTAACGGACGCGTTTGGATCGTTTGTACATTAAAAGTTGTGAATGCCAGATGATGCTTGTTGTTTGATTTAGGCTTTAAAGTTATGGCTGAGGATGGATTTATTCTGAAACTCCCCCGTAATCAGGAGAAGAGGATACACTTTGTTTTTGTCCCTTTTGAAAAACTAGATGGTTTGAATATACTGAATCACAATCATACTCAG